ACAGGTGTGTTTCTCTCTTTTGCAAAGGATATAAAGATTGCTTTCACAGAGGACAGCCCCCCATGTGTTAGCTTACTACTGATACCTGGATTAAGGAATGAAACAAAGTTAATCAAGACTTTGACTATCTGAGCAACTAAACCCCTCGAGGCAGTGAAGAGAAAAGGGCCTCCATTGCAAACTTGACTCTGTGCCCTACAAAAAAAAGCTTGGTTTTGCTTGTGGTTTCTCTTCCCTTTCTGAAAGTACATGATGTTCCTGAAAAGTAGCCCCATCTGAGGTACAGGGTGGTGTCTCATTAATTCAGAATATACTGAAAAAAGGAGAACGTGGTCCTTTTCTCCTCCTAACTGATGTGATGTCTTTTTAATGTTCTTATCAAACAAGTAATTACTGGATTTTTTTTCTCTGGAACATTTCTTCAAAACAAAATTTTGCAGCCTGCAAAAGTTATTGTCCCTTGAAAAGATGGAGGAGATGTTTCAGAATGTAGCCTTGTCCTGAATTATGGATTCCCAATTAAGTTTTCTACCAGAGAGACAATAATTTTAACAATTGCAGTTTCCTTGCTGTGTTTGGAGAGACACGTCATAGTCACAGAAGGGAGTCTTGGATGAGGGTCCATGCAGGAGCACAGGCTCTGCCTACAGGAGTGGGAGCAGATGGATGCAGGTCAGCTCCCTGCCAGAGGTCAGAGCCATGTTAGGGCAGAGCATCCACGAGCCATCCACAAAGGCAAGGTGCTGTTCCAGCATGTCTTCAGACCAGCCAGGGCAGGGCAGAGAGACCCAGGTCTGCCTACATAGATAAGTGCAGCCGTAATTGTAGATGCTTACCTCCAAGGTCACGCTTCTCAAACTCTCTGTCCTGTTGACATGTAACCCTGGAGACAGAATCATGGAATCATAGAATGGTTTAGGTTGGAAGGGACCTTAAAGATCATTTAGTTCCAAACCCCTGCCATGGGCAGGGACGCCTTCCACCAGACCAGGTTGCTCAAAGCTCCATCCAACCCGGCCTTGAACGTTTCCAGGGATGGGGCATCCACAGCTTCTCTGGGCAACCTGGTCCAGTGCCTCGCCACCCTCATAGCAAAGAAAGACATGTACAACCCAAAGCTGTCTGTCTTATACCTAAGTTCTCCTTCTGGGTGAGACTGTACAGCTCGTAAAGTAGATGTTCTTCATCCAGTCTTGCCCAGGAGCCTCACTTGGTAGATATTCTCACAGCACGTGTGACAGGCTCCATGCAAAATTTAGTTTTCATAGAAAAGGTGGTCAAAAGAACCATAGGTGGCATCCTGTATGGCAAAATTACTCAGGCCTTCTCTGGAACAAGAGATTTTCTGAGACACAAGATGCTTCAGTGTGTCTTAATACTAGATTGTTTTCTGGACCACTCTATGCCAGTTTATCTCCAGTGGATTAAGTGTAAATGGCAAACATTTATGTGGTACGGGATAAAAATGTTGATGCAATAACCACCAGTTCAGCAGTCACATACTGGCTTTCTGGAGATCCGGAAAACTATGTCAAATGCCTGTGCAAGGAGACTCTTAGTCACAAAAGCAGCGCTGTAGAATAGCTCTGTGCACATATACTAGCTCCCAGATGCATACGACATAGATTTTGGCAGGTGTGTGGGTAGTTGTTGCAGAACACCGAGCGTGGTGTAAATTCACTCAATAGTTTCTCTGGATGAGCATGACTGTGGTGGCTTTCACTATCTGTCTGGGCTTTTCCGTGCAACTCTGAAATTTGGTTGGTGACCTGGATAATATAGACAGAGACAGCTTCTGCTTTCAGATTGGGAAAGGACTTGTTTGAGGTCTTTTAATGTAATGTAATGTAATATTGACAGGCATTACAGGACCCTCTGGATGGGATCTGATGCTAAATAAATTCAGACATGAAATAGCTCTGTGCACTGTTAATATGGAAGACAATTATCTTAGAGTTCCCAAACTTAATTTGTCTAAGTCACAACAGTGGTGTGGTAGATACTGGCACCTGCAGTGCGTGTTACCAGTGAAAGTCATGATTCCTGACTCTGTGTGTTATAGGCAGAGACATCCTGTATTTTTTCAATATGTTCCTGGCTCTGGATTTTCCAGCTCCTTGTAGACCAGAATCTAAACCCACATTTTTATCTACTTCTTTTCAGGTAGCTGCTACATTTACAAGTCTGAATATAACACAATGGGAAGTTTTTTTTGTACTTTCAGCCAGCTGTGGAGTCCCTTGAAATTTTTTTGCATGTATATAAAAAAACCACATATGCAGAAATTTGCAACAACTATTGCATATTTTATTACCACCACCTCAAGTACTGAACATGGTTTATGTAAGACTCTACACATATTCCAACTAGAAGACGAACACATCATTAGTGTGGACACTCTTAACTTTTATTTAGAGCAAGATAAAGGGTTTCAAAATGCAACGTGACAGCACGGTAGGCATTATTCCTCCCATTCTTTTATCACTGCCTTCTAATGAATACCAGTAGTCACACTTCTCTTTTACCTAGGGTGGTTCAACCATTGCCACACGTCAGGAACTTTAAACGGTTGTTTTGGGCTTGACTGATTAATTTGCAAGATGCTACATGATTTAAAGAATGAGAATTGCATAATTTACAGTTCTGTGTCAGCCAGAAAGACTGCCCACTCCATGCAGGGCTGAGGGCCAGGCAGGCGTCTCTGCTATGTGAGAGTTCAGCTGCCTCTATCCAACTGGTTTTGGGCTACTGTTAATTCACTGGGAAACACAAGGAAGACAAAACCCAAGACGTCACATTTGCCACTGTGTTTGTAGTCTGAGACTTGAACAGAATTTGCTAAGAAAGATAATTGTAAGCCGAGAACTTCATGGTCGCTTATATCACAAATACCCTGTAAACTCCATTTAAGAGTCCCTTAAGGACAAGCTCTTCAAAATAAAGTTATTCTATATAATTTAAACGGTACCTTTCTCCTGATGCAGAGGCCTATCAGATCATCTCTGCTTTGATCAGCTCTTGCCTACGCATGCCGTCTGCTTGGGAGACAGGGAATGCAGCCATAATTTCATCTCACCCTGCTGAGGTACCTTGGTCAAGAATGTAGTTTGGCTTTCTTTTCTTTCTGTTCTTCCTGAAATCTGCAACTTCAGCTGTTTTTTTTCAGGCTTTCTCGGAACTGGGAGCTCATCACAACAACCACTTTTTGTTGAATCACGATATGTGAATTGTCTGTGAAACTGTCACAAGAGATAGTTGAGACCTAGAACTTGTTAGGTTTCAGGCAGGGACTGGGCATCGTTGTAGAAAATATTTGTGGTTATAAACATAATACATTGATAAACATAAATAAAAAGTTTGCAGAAAGGTGGAAAAATCATGATTTGGGATTTAACTCAGTATTGCACTGTAAAGGGATAGGATGGAAACCTAAGGAGAACAGACTATACCATATCTGCCTGTTGCTTGTACCTTCCTCAAAAGCATCCAAGGCTAATAATTTTGGATTAAAAGAAAAAAAAAAACCACAAGATTAAGAGGATCCTAAATCTCAAGTAGGGCAATATTTCATATATGTGGGCTTAGTTTTTTCTGGGTCACCTGCAAAATTGATGTGACTTCATAGGAAACATGGCATTGCCTTCTCTTTGCTGTTTATTACGACTGAGAACTCTTACCTCTTTACTACACAGCAGATCCTCTCTGAACATCAGAGATATTTAGACTTTGGCTCTACAAGACTAATATTTAAGTAAGGTTAATTATGTAAAGAGTGCCGTTAAACATAGTTTTAGAAACTCCTAATTACAGCCAAACTTGGTGTTAACAGTAGTTGTTGTTATTGTTATTATTGTTGTTATTATTATTATTCTCAACCCCCAAATCTTTTAACATCTGTTGTTGACTTATGAATGAATTACGTGAACAATGAGATGACTGAATGACTGGAGTATACACAGGAAACTGAAAACAACTGTATGCACCGTATTGTCAATGTGCAAGCCAAATTAACAGGAGATAAATCATGTTTTCCTAATGTGCTCTGTCTTTACTCTGATCTGGTGGTATTTTGAACAACAATGCTTTTAGTTAAGACACACAAATTTAGCATGCCAGGGTCAACACGAAAAATTTCAAAGCCCAAAGGACAACCTGAAATTTTTGGGTTGTGACGAGACTGTTGAGAGACACCTTGTGGAGAGATTGCAGACCTTGGAGCATTCTTCTGTTTTCACTATGCTATGTAAAAGTTGGCCCTATGCCTTGAAGGCAGGAATTACAGTGGAATGAGAGATGTTAGCAAACATATTTAATAACAGCTTTTGCCTCTCCACACAAATTCCTTTACAGCTTTACATTTTGGTGCTATATGACTTTATGAAGCTCCACTGCATGATAAATGCAGGATTTCCTGACCTTAGTGACTGATTAAAGGATTACAGGATGCTGACAGTGCTTCAGTTTTCTAAGATCACTGAATATTTGCTGCAGAAGAGCTCCCCACAGCCTTCCTTGGATTTCTCTTCTGGCTAACCCCCATATTGACTTAGCAGTGTAGAAGCAAGTTAACAGCTTACCTTATCCAGTTCCTAATGCTCTGTGAAGGTGCTCACTTAATAGTTCTTTCCATCATTTTGCTATCCCATTTAACTGAACAACAGATAATCTTCCTAAGTCTTTCTATTTATACACATTTATATTCAGTGAAGTAGGCTACAGTTCTCATGCATAATCAGACCTTCCAAAGGCAACTCAGAAAAGATGAAGGAACAGGGCTTTTATTCAAGGGTGTGTCGAAGTGTCTGGTGTGAACGTAGAAGAGGAGGGAGCTATGGAAGGGTGTGTTGGGCAAGGGGAGCCAACCAGCCCTAGAAGCAGAGGGAGTGGCTTGGGGAGGGACTGTGTAACGGGCAGGCTGAGACGATTCACCCTCCACCTGGACACAGTGCTGCAAAGCTTAGACTAGTGAATCTGTGTTGACTGCACATCTACTGGTACAGATGGCTCCACAGACTGGCTCCACCGGAAAGGAGACACGACCTGTTTCAGCCTTTCTACAGCTTTTCACTTGGGAAGAGATCAGAATCCACAATGGCCATGGTCAAGGTCAGAAGCAATGGCTGGTGATTGACAGGAAGGTTTATGATGTCAGCAAGTTTTCCAAACAACACCCTGGAGGCAGCCGAGTTATTAGCCACTATGCTGGGCAAGATGCTACGGTAAGATCTAGAAGGACAGTGGAGGAAGGTGGTTCTGTTGTCAGGGCAGGATGACATGGCGGGACGCCAGTGGAGAGTGCCCATGGTAGTTGGCTCTGTGCTTGGTCAGATAATGTAATGGACATATCTGGGCTATTTGTAAAAATGCCCTTCTGGTTACCTTCAAGGTAACCTCCTATGCAAACTGTAAAGCTCTGTCTAGGTTCATTACACCCTGCTGTAAACAAAGCAATATCCATGCAGGTTGCCTTGCCCCTAGGCGTGATCAGGCAAGCCATCTTCCAGATGCCTGAAAAGTGTCTCTCGCAGCAGTGAGAAAGGGAAGAGGGTAGGAAGGGGTATGCTCACTGCGTATTTTTACTTTAAAGGCTGCTCTTTCAGTGTCACATGGATGTGATCGGTGATAAGCAAATGATAACCAAAGATAGAGCATGGGTAGATAGACAAGGAGGAGGTAATATCCAAACATAAAGTAATTTTGGGGGCAGAGAAGCAAGAGAAGGGGGTACTCAAGGAAGTGACACTACTTTGTACAGGTAAGTGGAGGAGAAGAGAGTCTTGAGCAAAAAGGCTACTTCAAAAGAGGGGGGAAAAGAAATAAAATAGAGGAAAAATGACTGAGAAAGAAACAGAATGACATTTGGCTGCAGAAGATGAGGAAAAATTCTACAAATAATCACTATTTGAAAATAGATTTTCCAGAGATTCCTGCAAAATTCTTTCATTTAGAGGATTTCTCTAAAAAAATTTGTTGCTTGTTGACAGAAATAATAAATTCTAAGCAGATCTCACAGACTATTTGCTGAAAGTAGGTACTGAATTTCTGAATAGTCAGGAATACGCACATTAGAAACATGACCAGGATTATGTCATAAACTTGTGATGTGGGAGACCCAGATTTAATTCTTGTCACGACAAGACTTTTTGACTTCAAGGAAGTTGCTTAGGCTGCCTGATTCCTCAGGTTTCAGTATATAAAATGGGATAGCACTTCCTAACTCATGGCCCGAAGTGGGTCAGATCAGTTATTTTTCACGTTTCGTTCCTTTCACCCTACTTGAAACTGAGGCAGAAAAATACCTAGTGTTCTCAAATGAAGAAAAAAGGCGGCTTCTGAGTCTCGTTGGTTTTCTTCTCTAGCTCACTGACTGGCAGATACAGCCCTGTTTGAAGGAGAGGGTTGTGTGTCCATTATGCAGCACCTGCATAACGTGATGGGAGATTGCAAACAGGGCTGCACGAGGAGCTACCTGGAGAAGGGACACCAATCCTGCCCACCGGCTCTCTCACCAACCTCTTACCTTCCCAGTAAACCTTCTGTGCATGCTAATTCACTGTAGTCTTCTCTCAGGAGGATTTAAGCATGCTAAAAGTATTTTTTTAATGAAAACTCTGTTTTTACTTAAAGATGAACGTGCCAGTTTTAAATCAACACATCCCTTTCAGATGATGTTTTGTGCCATGCTGTAATGAGCTTACTGCAGCAATAGAGACAAATGTTGAGGCTGCCACTCTTAAGAATGTAAGACCAACCATATCGAGCCAGCCCAGAGATCCCTGTAGCCTGGTGCCATCTCCTGCAGTTTCTATTACCGGACTTGTACAAAAGGAGACAAGGAATACAGAAGGCATGGAATGATTTGTCCCCAAGCTATGTCCTCCCAGCTTTTGCAGCCACCAGTGTAAGGACTTGCATTTAGATTATTATGCTTTGTAGACACCCAGGGGTTTTAACCACAGTGAATTTGTCTGGTATGAATGAGATTAAAGAATGACCTTTGATCTTATTTGTATTTATTATTACAATAATATTACAATGTGGTTTTCCTCATTATTACTTTCATACATTTTAAACCTACCTCCTGATAATTTCATTATTGTGTTATGAAAACAGTGAATAGATTTTCCATCATTTTCTCAATGCTATTTACAGGTTTTTAAAACTCATTAACTTGTTACCTGTTTTCCAAGGCAGTCTTCTAGTATGAAAGCTGTTCTAGAACTCTATTCATCTTTTTTTGCTACGTGTAGTTGTACCACATCCCTTTGAAGACAGAAGGACTAGAACTACGTGCAGTACTCAAGGTTGTGGGTACACTGTGGATTTATGTTGCATCATAATGACATTCTTCTGTCTTGCTCTTGATTTTTATTCTGCTAGACTTTATCGTTCTTTTTGCTTTTAAAATGCTGCTATGTCCATATATTCTGAGAAATATAGAGTTCTGAAATTTTACAGAAAAGCAGGACTGGAAGGTGTCTCAAAAGATCATCTGGTGCATGACTTTGCCTAAAGCCAGGATCCAAGATTTTTTTTCCAAGTACTCTTGACTACTCTAGAACTCATAATTGTATATATATGGTGAGAATTTTCTTCCTCTGTGTGGATTACTTTATAAATATAGACAATATGCTTTGCAGAACACTACATTGATGTCAAATGTTGGAGGTTAGGTGCGTTACAGATGATAGCCTTTAAAGTTAATCTCTCATAAGATGATAATCAGGGCCTAAGAGCAGGGAGGAGAAAGGACAGGTTGCAGGACTGAAAGGCTTGTGTTTCTGTGATAAGAATCTGTAATGATGATGATGTGGATAGGAAATTCTGCTTAAAAGGATTCTGGCTCCTGTTTCTAAGCTGCAGTATAGCTACTTACAGCTTGACTCAGTTTTAGAATTCCTGGCAAGAGGGAGCTACATAAAAATGCATAAAAAAACTGTAGGATGAGGGACACAGAATCATAATGGAAAGATTTCCCCAGTCCTCTGGGTCTGGACAGAGTTCCTCATTTGTCACTGTGACAAAGAGCCACTGGATATCTGTAGAAAGCTCATCTGTCCAAAAAGTCACCTTACTCTGACTTCTAGACTAAAGTACTCGGAGTCAGACTGTCTCTAAACAAGGGACTCCAGACGAATGTCAGACTGCACAAGGGAAGTCCTCTGTCCTCTTCCAGGGACTTAATCCTGACCAGACGCATGCAGAATTTTTTTGTGTCGTGATCACCCACATTGATTTTTCAGAGCCAAAATCAGCAAGTACCTGGCTGCTCAGACACTGAGGATTTTATTATATCTACTCTTCCTGGAAGACAAAAGAGTATGGTCAGCCTCTTTACCTTTCTTCTGGAAAATTCACTGAGGACATGAGTTAAAGAAGAGTTTTGGTTTTCGGGCATTTCATCCTTTATTCTTTAGTTTATATTGATTTTTGAAACTGGTATTTCAAATGGTTCTTGGACAGACCCATTTGTGTCACTACTGTTACCCAGTTCCCCAAAACATCAATCAGTCTGAAAACTTAGAGGGAGCTGTAAGAGATACCCAGTTAGTCCTGCTGTGTATGGAGCTTCAGCATATATTTCCTATGGTCCTAGTGTAATAAAAACAGGATTTTAAAATCATCATCCTAAGCATGGCAAAGACACACCTCATTCATTGAGGTGTTTTCCTGCTCCTGGGTCCCATCCGTAAGGCAGGGCTGCTGGCTGGAGCCTTCGAGGGAAGGACTGTGCTGAAACAAGCAGATGAAAGAGCATGTTTCCCTCTGCAAAGAGTTTTTCATCAAACAGTTTCACGTTTATTACCAGCCTCGCCCAGGTACTTTTATGAAACCTAGTTTCTTGAAACTTCTCCAGCTTCCTTGGGCCAAGTTCCAGTTGATGGCAAAGAACAACAGGAGCAACCAAAGGGACAAAAATGGACAAAGGAAACTGGATTATGGATTATAATAAAGACCTGAAAAAAGGAGAGGCTCAGCATCTGGTGTTCAGTCACATACCCCTTCTTACCCCCTTCCTTTGTGTGTTTCTCAGGATGCCTTTGTGGCATTTCACAATGATAAGTCTCTGGTGAAAAAATACTTGAAATCTCTGCTGATCGGGGAGTTGGCACCAGATCAACCCAGCTTTGAGTCTAATAAAAAAGTAAGTGTCCTAGAATCCAGCTGTGGGAATGGCTTGGGGTGCAGTGTGGGAGGAGAAGGAAAATAAGGGAGCTATCAGAAATAATTTCTGAAGCAGCATGCCTGACACTGTGCCATAGGCTGGGTGGTGGGGAGGCAGCCAGCAGTAGTCATGCATGGGAACATGTGCTGTCCCAGCATCGCTAAATCCACACCTGGGTGTAAGGAACGAGGCCCAGAGCCCCAAATTCTCCTCGGTTCTTCCCACTGCGATATCTCAATAACAGAGCCTGTCAGCAACTTGTTTTCCAGCGTCAAAGCAAATCCAAGATCTGTTGATCTCATGCTCATTTTTGCACAGAGACCCCCTCTGATAGCAGCCATGGAAGTCAGAGGAGATATTCTTTGGGATTCCTGGGTCTGCTTTGTTACATTTTCAAAGTAGGTGTGCATTAATACTCACTTTACCCACAGAAATCACTTTTAGAGGATTTTCGTGAGCTGCGCTGTGCTATTGAGAAGATGGGACTTCTGAGACCAAATTACATCTTTTTCTTCCTGATTTTCCTTCACCTGCTGATACTGGATGCTGCATCCTGGCTTGTGGTCTGGTACTTTGGGATATCCTTAGTGCCTTTCCTGGTTGGCATTGCATTCTTCACCATTGCTCAGGTAAACTCCTGACAGCTGTTCAATACTGCAGCCACATCTGGTTCTTCCAAATGGAGAGGATTAATGAAATGTTCATATCCCAGTCATTGCTTTACTGCCTCTTCTTAGATCCTGTAATCTGGCTGAAGACAAGCCGCATGTTCTCCATAATTTTTGCTGCCTCTAGCAAATCTAGATTTGCTGACGAGCTGCTCACTGGGGTTCGTGGGGTGTTGTGGAGCCGGCAATTTCACAAGACGGGATGAGCTGATCTAATCACTTACCTCAGCAAAAGAGGGAATATTTCATTCTCAGCTCCACTTTTGGCTCCATGTTCCTTCTGTTTACTGACTGATGGCTCTGGTGTTTGTTGGGTCCTTCAGAAGCCAATTACACTCATTAGACCTGAATAGTTTTCTGCTGTTTAGTAAACTGAATCATAGAAGGGCACGATACGTGTCAGGGTAGGTGTACGGAAGGAGGGAACAGGACTTTGTGGCCCTTAGGTGGGAGAAATTGGAGGGCGAGGGGAGGAAGAAAGCAAGATTTTCTTAGTAGCGCTGAAACCTTAGGTTTGCTCAGACATCCGTGGAATATGTGCGAAGTAACTAATTTTTTAAATAATCTGTTCTGTTTGCCTAATATCTGCTAAGGAAGATATTCCACAGGGAGCATTCTTGTGTTTCTGTGGGAATATGAAATGCAACGAAGCTATGGATTTGGAAATTCTTACACTTTCTAGCTGGTTACTTGGAAATTATATATTTGCAATGGCAGCAAAAGACTTCCATGCTGTAACAGTCAAGTTAAAGATGCTTTACTGCTTTCCCTTTAGCTGCTACAATAAAATCAATATCAAGCATTGAGCAGCTGTAGTGGACAGTAGTCTGGAATTAAATTCTCAGCATTGAGCACATAGGACAGCAGGTAGCATTCCTTCCCCAAACCAGAAGGAAGATGCACTCGCGCTATGGAGTTACAGAGAATCCCGAGGCAAATTAACACGACGCCGCTGTGATCGTTTTGTCTTCCAGATCCAGATGGGCTGGTTCCAACATGATCTGGGGCACTGCTCTGTCTTCAGGAAGCCTAAATGGAATCGACTTCTGCAGATGGTTGTGATAAATGTTCTGAAGGTAATTGGCTCATGGTGGGAATAGACTCTGAGGCCCATCTGGACTAAGCAATGAATGGGAGCGTCCCTACATTCGGGCAGTATCGCCTGTGAGGGAAATGTAGTGCAGCTGTCAATAATAGGTGGATAAATACTGATGTAATTGTTGATATTGTTCTAGTTTGAATCCCTGGTCTTTAACTTTTCCTGCAGGGCTTGCCAGCCAGCTGGTGGAATCACCTACACAACCAGCACCATGCCAAACCCAACTGCTTCCGCAAAGACCCTGACCTCAACATGCACCCTCTCCTGTTCAGCTTGGGAAAGACGCTTTCTGTGGAGGTGAGCGTGGGGATGGCTGGAGAAGCAAAGATTTTAAAGACAGAAAGCTGTAGAGTGAGGTATAATAATAACCCAGATTGTGCCTTTCTGCATAAACTCATGGTAATTTCCAAAGCACTCCAAGGTCTGAGAGTCTCATGTACTGACTGGTTATTAAGATGCTTAGGCACCAGCTCCTGAGAAGCAAAGTCTTAAAATCAGTGAAGTTCTGTGTGTTGCTAGAAGAGCAGGGTAAGCACCTCGAAGGCAGTCCAAAGAATGAGTCAGTCCACTTGCATTAGTGTTAGATGTTCGTAGTGATCCTGTAGATAGTGAGTCAGATGTTCCCTCTGGGTCCTTTTGGCCGTGGGAGCTGTTTGGCACCTAAATCCTTCAGGATCAGTATAGCTGCTATGCACAAAACACAAGCATAGCAAATTATTTCTTAATCACGAAGTTTATGGCTTTCATAAAAATAAAAACCATGAACAGCCCTTCCCTGCATCCTCATGATTTCTGATATCATCAGGATGGGCAAGGTCTCGTTTGCCTTTTCTTTCCCTGGCAACTCTGTTTACTCATGGGGTGATGAAATGTCCTCTTTGCTAGATAACCAGCCTCTTAAAATAATCATAGAATCATCAAGCCATTTAGGCTGGAAAAGACCTTTAAGGTCATCAATTCCAACCGTTAACCTAGCGCTGCTAAGCCCACCACTAAACCATGTCATCAAGCACCACGTCTACCCTTCTTTTAAATACCTCCAGGGATGGGGACTCAACCACTGCCCTGGGCAGCCTGTGCCAGGGCCTGACAGCCCTTTCGGTGAAGTTCCTAATATCCTATCTAAACCTCCCCGGTGAACTCTCACTCTCCTGGTAATAAGCAAAGAAATTACAGCTCTCCAAGGCATGTGGGAAATTCCAGCTCTGCTGTCTCAGAAAGACTCCTGTAAAGAGAGTTTACACAAAATACTTATTCATAGAAAACTGTTAGCTGCAACTGGGAAGGATTTTGGCAGTGCTCTTCTGAAAGATCTCTCATGGCTATCTATTAGCATGAGCATCTAGAGTAGGCTGGCTGTGTTAGATTGGGTTTGATGGAAGTGAAAATGTAGAAAATTAGTTCTCATGTCTTCCTGCTTTTTAACAGAAAATTCAGGCACACTTTGAATGGGCAAAATGGATTTCAGTGGTTTCATTTAGTCCAGTTCATTTGTTCTGTTTCGGGTTTGATCCAGCGAAGACATCTTTGAGGTGTTCAAGCTTTTTTTCTCTGTGATAGGGGAGCTCTGGAAATAGTTTGCTTTACCACCTTATTATTTTGTCCTTTGAAGAATCATAAGCACAAAATTTGCAGAAGATGTTAAGAACCCTTTTGTGCAAATAGTGAAAAAATAGACTGTGAGGAAATAAACTCAGTTGTTCTTTTTGTAGGTATTTCATCTTTTTGCTGTTTCAGGTACTTGAAGGCAAAATATTCAACAAAACAAAAAGGCGGATGTCTTTATAGAGTACTTACTACTTTGATCTTGTGATCACTTTAGGATAGCATCCAAATGCTTGTGTCATTTCTGGCCACTATCATCTCCTCTATTATTCAAAAATTTGGGATGTCTGCATCCTATCTTATCTGATACAGAAATTCAGATGTAGCTTTCACAGCAAACACGTCCTGCATTAGTCACCCATCAAGTTTCTTGTCTTAGTTTTCATGTTAATAACCTGTTCCTCCCTGAGCAGCCATAGTCTCAGCACTCTGTGGTTAATATGTGGAATTGGTTAGATTGGACTTTCATTGCCATCACTGGAAACTTCCCCTACAAAATTCAAATGACTTGTGAGTGGTTTTGTGATTTTTGAGCATTTTTGTATCCTGCCATGAGTTTTGGAACTCTCCTAAAAATGGCTCTGTTCTGACATTGGCATAACGTTGATATCTGGATACAGAGGCTCAAATGAAATCTGCCTTTCTGCATTGCTTTGGAACTTCAGCACCTGCTTTTCAAGAAAAGGGGTTGAATTAGAGAGATTAAGAGGTAGTTCTCAATGTGTTCATTAGACAGGAATAAGAAATACCTTATGAAGGGTCTCAGGTCTCCAACTGACCCATTACAATGTCTTTTCATTTTTCAGCTTGGAAAAAAGAAGAAGAAGTTCATGCCTTACAATTATCAACATAAGTATTTCATCCGTGAGTATCCCCACTTCCTTGCAGTGCTATAGGAACTTCACCTAAAAATCATGACTGCATCTCCTCCCCAAAATAAAGATTTTTAAAGACACCCCTATTGAAGTCACAGCTTCAGGAAGCTTCCTTCACTTTAAAGAAGGTTCACGTGAGGAGGAATTGCCCCTTACGTCTCTGTTAGGATTATGTGATGGTAGGTACTAGATAGGGGTGAATTGAGTGGGAAGAAGAAAGGGATGGGAAAGAAATGAAGAACTGGTGAGATGAAAAGAGGAACAGATTATGTGGACACATGAAAAATTAGTGTAACTGGAAGACAGCAATTTTTTTATTCCACTGCAAAGAAGAATCTTCTAGGGGAACTGTTGTGTCCCCCCCCAACCCCCCCCCACCCCCGTTCTGTAAGATTTATGATGCAGAGAAGTTATAATGTCTCTCTCTTTTCATTCTTCCCTTCAGTATTGGCCCCACTGGCACTTGTACCCTTCTTCCAGCTGTCTATATTCTACTTTGCAATCAAGAGGAAAAAGTGGTTGGTAAGCACTACTTGCATTTTCTAGAAGACTTCAAAAGATATTTGCCAGTCTGTGGCTATATTAACCTTCACCTCAGGTGATTGTGGGGCTTAAGACAGAAAAGGCTGATTCTAGG